TGAAAAGTATGGTGCCTACCTAATATGTTTGTATTGTACTATCAATGCAATTTCAATTCTATTCAAGCACTTTCGGAATATAGAAAACCTTCACAAACATGAATATCTTAAGAAAAACAGGGCAACAAAAATAAGCTGTTAATAAAATAGGTTAACAGAAATTTAAATTATGTAAATAGGAAAAATGAGCAAAACAGTTTATTACGAAAAAATGGTTTCAAACTTTATAAGGCGAAAAAAGAGCATCTCTTGAGGCAGGAAGATAACCCGAGGAGATTAGGGTTATGTAGGTGGTGACAAGAATATGCAGATGAATTCTCTGGTCAGATGTGTCTACTTTTTGTAAAAATGGATTTTTTAATAGAAACATCAAATGGACTAATGGTAATTTATATTGACACAGAGAAACTGCATTTCAACAGAGGTTTTTAGTAAACGTTTGGGTTAGAATTCTTAATACCAAATTCATAGGACCTTACTTCTATGACGGTGAACTGATGGGTGAGAGATATTTCATTATATTCATTATTTTTTTTGTAGTTGGCATGTTTAAAACAATTTCTGCATTAATCTACATTTTTATACCAAAATTATAAAAAATGTAATAAATGTAAAAGATAAAGGCGGCATATGTAATACATCGCATGAAAGAGGAAAAAACAAGTAATTTATTGTATCCTAATGTTCACGCCCAATTTTAAATAAGTATTTCATTATTATTATTTTTTGTTTTCTTAATACTCTCTTCGCTAGAGGGCACTTCCGCGCTCACTCTGGCGTTTAAAACAGTCTGAATAGAGTCGCCGGCGGGTATCCTTGTTGTACCTCATAGTGATAATATTTTGTGCTGAAATTTCCGCATCCGCGTTCCCGCCTATACAGTCCACTTCCTACCCTACCACCTGTTCCGGAAGAGCTCCAGAGAGTCACCAAGGGGCTCCTTCGAAGATGACGCTCTCCGAGAATACCAGGTACTCTCAAACATTTTTTTCCCGCATTTTCTTTAACCGCAGCCCGTTCGGTAACACCTGCTTCGATGACAATTATTTTTTTGTCCGCATAGAGGGCGCAGCAAATTACATAGGAAAATTCAAAAATTCGTTTACACTAGGTGAAAAATATCAATTTTGCCATGAAATTTTATTAAAATAAGTTTTCTCTTTTCTCTTAAAATAAAAAGGTTAGACAGCCCTAAACTTTCGGTACTTTTTCGTTTTTTTATGACTATAAAGTTGGCCATGGATCTCAAATTTGTTTTTACAAACATCAAGCCCTCAAAAAATGTAACGGAAAACATACAAATTTTTTACGTTTTTAAGTGAGATACATAGGAGTGGCCGTCTTATAATAGACAGCCTGTAGATCGCGGCTGCTGACGTCTGCTACTAACAACGGTGTCTTTTGCCGCCCCTGGAACGTGGCGCCGGGGTCCCACGCACCCCTTGCATCCCCCGATTGGCGCGGCCCTGATGCTAACATATCGAATTCAGCATACAGTCGAAATTTGAGAATAATTCGTAATTATACAGTGTCCCCCTAAAGTCGTGCACGAATTCATTATTAGGTAAACAAAAGAAATTATTAAAAATTCCCGAAACAGGTCGATTTTTTAATTTAATTTACTATTTTTTCAAATAATAATTTAATATACAGGGTGACCTATGTTCGAGTAATGACGTCATCACATTAAAATGGAACACCCTACTTTTTTCCAATTTTCGGATTGCCCTAACTGAGCTGATTCCAAAAATATACCACAAGTTGCTTCTAATTGTTACAGGGAGGACAACTATACCCAAATTATTTACAAATACTAAATTTATTTACAAATAAATAAACTAAAAATTGAATCAAATCACCACATATCATTTTAAAATGTCATTATTTTTTGCTATAATTTCTTTGATGCTTTTTTAATTTTATCTGCCTGATAGAACGTGCTCGTGTATTTTTAGCAGGCAATCATTTTTAAATGGTTTGTTAAGATTGTACAAGTAAATCCAATTTGAATGATTCTTCCTTAAAATATTGAGTATTTTTTAATTAATTAAAAAACATGATTCTAAGTGAAACCGAACGGATCGAAATTCTTATGATGATCGGATATGGTGATAGAATTCGAATTCATGAGGAAGTTTGTGTTTTGTTTAATAAAATTCATTCCATTCGTCCACCAATAAATCGATCCACGGTTAGCCGAACTGAAGCAAAGTTTCGAAATCATGGTCATGTTAAAGATATGCCCAGATCTGGCCGACCGACTGTAGATGAAGAAGTGCAGTTACAAGCCCTTTTGACCATTCATGAAAACCCGCAATCCAGTCTGAGAGTCGTAGCAGATAATTTAGGAATGAGTGAAAGTACATTGAGTAGACTTCTTCACAGAAACAAGTATCATCCCTACAAAGTCCACTTAGTACAAGAATTATGTGACGATGATTTCGACAGACGCACAGAATTTTGCGAAATGATGATGGAAGAATGTCAGGCAGATCCGGATTTTGTGAAACGCATAATTTTCTCCGACGAGTCGTCTTTTTATTTGAATGGCACCGTCAATAAACAGAATTGTCGGTACTGGTCAGATCGCAATCCACTTTGGATGATGGAAGCACACACTCAGCATCCCCAAAAGGTCAATGTTTGGGCCGGAATTGTTGGTAATCGAATTTTGGGGCCGTATTTCTTTGAAGGAAATTTAGATGGTGCAAGATATTTTGTATTTCTTCAGTTTCATTTAGTTCCTTCCTTGAGTGTTCTATTTCCAAATGAAGAAGATCCAGATTTGCTGCTGCTGTTCGCCGCTATTTAGATGACGTGTTTCCTCATCGGTGGATTGGCAGAAGAGGACCTAAGGAATGGCGAGAATACATCCAGCGCCGGATCCCGTTATGGGACAAAAATAAGCCAATAGAAATATTAGTAGGTGTGGCTTGGATATTTGGCGCACTTTTTCAATTTGCTGCGAAAGCGAAATCAATTTGTGCTTTCTAAGGTAGAAAATATAAAAATATGTAATTGTAATGTAAAAATATATTATATAGGTACATATTTTTTTTATTATGCTATGGGATAATTTCAAGTTCTTTTAGAAAAGTTTTATTTAATTAATATGTATATTTTGGTTAACGCTATCTAAATTAAGAGTAAAAACACAGGAATGTAAAGGATTTTTTTATTACTTATTTTTTATTTCCATTGTTACTTTTTCTCTTTTGTTTTTTAATAACTCTTCGTCCAGCTGAGGTTTTTTGGATTGGGATAATTCTTCCTCTTCTTCGACTACCATCAGCTCCTGAAAAAATTACTCAATTACTTAATCGATCATGGTCTTTATTTAAATATTAAAAATTGTTTATTTCGTCTATTTTTAAACAGCACTTTACAGTTTAAACAAATATGTATACATATTATTTCTATAAAACTGTAAACCATATAAATAAAAAAAAACACTATATACGATACAATACAGGGTATTCAATTTAAAAATAATATAACTTTGATCTGCCACCCTTTTATGCAACACCCTCTGTATCTACGAAAATATATTTTGCAAAAAGTTTACACTAAACCCTACGACTTTCGTATTTAACATATTAATTAACAAAATAAAAAATAATACACCAACAGCCAAGAAAAAATGTCATAAAACCGACACCAAAACAGGTCAAGACCAAAACCAGTAGAGAAGACACAGTATTATTTATTAGGTATTTAACACATACCAAATTTCAACACTTAGGTGTTGAAGAATCCTCACGTAACTGCTATAGGAAGAAAACATATATTAACACCCTTTCAGGAATGTAAAATTGATATATTATAATAATTTAGAAAATAGCAAAAAATTCTTACCAAACCCAAATGTGGCTATTGCTGATGAAAATGATGCTGGTGTTTTAATTTTATGCAATGTAGAAATCATTTTTTCCATACTGCCGGTTACCTCTAGTGGTGATTTTTCATAATATTTATCAAAACATTGATTCATTATAGCTAACAATTCTGTATATCTTTTTCGGCTTTCATCAGGATCAAATATTGGTACATCCATAGTACTAGTTGAAGGTAGGCTTGTGTTCTCCGAAAATGACAATATGTTTTCCTCTTTTGTTTGTGTTAAAGCAGGGCTCGATTCAGTTTCACGTGTAACAATTAAAGGTAAAAGCCGCTCACCTTTACTGGGTTGCCCAGTAGCCACCAAATAAAGGTTTTCTTTAATCTTAAGGTTATCTATTTTATTAATGTATTTGTCGATGCAAAACAGAGCATTTGCCCAATGAATATGTTTGCAAATGGCACTTAAAAAAGAGAAGTTTTGGTAAGGTTTTGGAAACATACATATTAACAATAATTTTATAGGTATAGTATAGCATCATATTTTTTTTAGGAAACAAATTCAATCTTCTCCAAGCATAAATTTAAATCTTTATTACCTGTACTTCCCACTGTGCATGAGCATATGAGGACTTCAGTATTAACTAAATACAATAAATTTGGTTTGGTTTCACTCGGGACAGCAACTATGTTTTCATTAAGTTTCTTAATGAGTTTTATTAAATCTAAAGGAGGCATTTTTATGTCCTTATCCAAAAGATTTTTACTGGGGCGGTTGCTGGTAGCATCAAAAGTTTTCTCTATGTGTAGTCCTAGTAAATTTGGTCAACATAAAATCTACCATTTGCATTAAGTTAAATGCTTTTATACGGGAAAAGATTTTGTCTTTGATTTGACGAATTGTACTTTCGGAATAATTATTGGTATGATTGTTTTTCATTAACACACCACGTCTATAGGCCTTCACCCAAAATTCGCGTTTTGGCCACCAATAATTATTTAAATAATTGATGTATTTAGGGAATAATTTTGCATTTTTAACAGCTATAGCATATTTGGCTGTCGCCTCCTCCAAACTGTTTGCATATAGAATATTTTGAAAATCTCTATAAATACTTGTTTGCTCGTCTCTGTGAATACCATTTTTTGATTTTGAGAGCCATCTAAAGACTGCCTGCAAAACATGAAATATGCATAGCATTCTTTTTGACCCAGGCCAAGTATCGCCAATGGCTTTTTGTTCAGATTGAGGATCGTCTGTCATGAAAACTGCTGGACCTTCCTCATGTCCCCCAAAAATAGGTTCTCCTACAAGTTCCTTGATTATGTTGAAGCCAGATTTGATGGCATCTACACATTCAGATGTTGTAATTATAAGCCCTAGTGGTAAAGCTCCACATTCACTGTGTGTCAACATAACAAAAATCCGACTTCTATCCCTATCCATGGTTCCCGAAGAATCAACACAATTTCAGAAGCAGCTTCCACATATTTATGGACTCTCTTCATAATAGGAGTACAAAGCTTAAAAAATATATATATAAAAACCTTGAAAAATGTTTAGATTGTATATTCAATGTATTTGTTTATTCAACTTACCCAATAACATAATCATCATTTTCTTTTCCCATTAAAATCATTTTTGCACATTGATCTTTTTGTTTAGCATTGTACAGCGTAAGTTTATTTTCTAAAAATACTTTTGCATCATTGTCAAATTTGATAGGGCCATAATTTTTCTTAAATTCTTTCATGTGTAAGTCATAGCAGTATTTATAACTTGGACATCTATTCCTGTCTGCTAAAGCTGTGATGTAGTCATCACAAGTTAGCTGGATATTGCACTTAATCATTTCTAATGCTGTTCCTGCTGTATGTCCATTCTCGTAAAGACCTAATAACTCTAATATTCTCTTACATTATTGCTAACTTTCCGAAACAAAGAATCTGCATTGCCTGTCTTATGATTGTGTGTTACAACAAGAGTTATTTCACAGGGTGCTTCTCGTAAAAGTTGAAATTTTTCTTGGGTGCCCCTGTATTTTTTTCTAATAATAACATGAATTTTTACTGTTAATTTTGAAGGGCAGTTGGTATTTCTCGTTTTATTTTTTGAAGATGGTTCGTAGGTTTTTGAGCACCGAGTAAAGTTATATTATTGTGAGCCTTAAATAAAACTTTTTAAATTTTAGTAAATACTTTTAATAAACTACCTATTCGATATATTATGTATAGGTACCTATCTATCAATTAAATATTTCACCTTAGTCTCCTTTTAAGTTTAATCCGTTCTCCAGCCTCAATATCCGTATTACTGATAACGTATGATGAATTTGTTATGTTTTCAAACTCTCTTAACCATTTACCAAACTCTTCTTTGTTCGTGCAATTAACAAAAAACTGCAACTGGACGTTGGGTAACTTATCTTCACCTTTTATAATCTTTTTCTCCATAATTTTTGTTCCCCAGCCAGGTGGCAAAACAGACTAAAAAATTGGTAGATTTAATAATAGGTAGTTGTTCTTATTACTATACTATATACTATAGAAATTTGATTTGGTACTCACATTAATGAATTCTTCATTTAACGAGGAAGACACAACGTTTTCCATTTACACGTTACTTAATATTTTCCACAAAACACCGATACCTAAGATATACTCTTAAGCTTTTGACAAGCAAACTTAGCAAACAAACAAAAAGACACTGCTAAAGACTATAAAATGAGGATGGATAAGATCAAAGGAAAACCATCGGAAAACAATAATCAATAATAAATAGCTGCCTGAAATCTGAAAAATTATGTTAGCTTAAAAGTTTAAACGTCACGTAAAATGTCAACGGCCTGAACTCCGCCCACAAGCATCATTTTAATTAGCTTATTTTAGCCTCATTACGGAATCCGGCGCTGGATGTATTCTTGCGGAATGGCCCGCCAGACCACCAGATTTAACACCGCTCGACTTTTTTCTTTGGGGTTATGTAAAAAGCAAAATATACGTCAATAAACCAAACAGTATTAATGATCTGAAGGAACGAATTCGGCAAGAAGTTCGAGCGATCCCGCCTGAAGTCATTGGGAATGTACAGCAAGAATTTACTTCCCGTCTGGCCCATTGTTTGTCAACAATTTGAACATTTAATTTAGGTGTTTCTGGTGATTTGATTCAATTTTTAGTACGTTTATTTATTTGTAAATAAATTTAGTATTTGTAAATAATTTGGGTATTGTTGTCCTCCCTGTAACAATTAGAAGCAACTTGTGGTATATTTTTAGAATCAGCTCAGTTAGGATAATCCGAAAATTGGAAAAAAGTGGGGTGTTCCATTTAAAAAAAATTGTGATGACGTCATTACTCGAACATAGGTCACCCTGTATATTAAATTATTATTTGAAAAAATTGTAAATTAAATTCAAAAATCGACCTGTTTCGGGAATTTTTAATAATTTCTTTTGTTTACCTAATAATGAATTTGTGCACGACTTTAGGGGGACACTGTATACATATAATTTTTTAGTTTGTTACTAGTTGTTCCAAGCCACCATTACTTGGATTTGCTCATCTTGAGCCACCATTTTCAATTCGATGTGTGGAAGTGGGCGATGATGAAGATACAGGTGATACAATTGGTGAGTTGCATTTCAGATACACTGACTTGACTTTCTTTAAGGTAGTATAACTACATAGTAAATTAAATAAAGGTTCACAATTTCGCGAAAATAGACCTTTCATATTATACTTTTCTTATAATTTTTAAGATGCAATTGGGGTAATTATTTATATCTTTTTGGTGCTTTCTTAACTAACTGCATAATTGTAAGTAACAAGTAATTATAACAAGATGCAAATTTTGAAAATTATCCGCCTATGAAAATTTTTTTTAATAGACAGTGTATAAATATTATTAGTAGATATAATAGGCGGTTTCTGGACCAGGAAGTGACGTGGCAAGGCCACCGGGGGTCAAGGTCACCCCAAGGTCATGCCAAGGTCACCTGGGGTCAAGGTCGCCTAGGGTCAAGGTTACCTGGGGTCAAAGTCACATGGTCAGTGTCCATCGCTCCTTCAGCGGCTTATAGTGGGCATTGTCGTTGTGCAAGAGATGCGTGGGTGTTGGCATGCAAGAAGTGTCATGGCGGCATGGAAGTGACGTCATACAAGAAGTATCATGGCGGCATGGAAGTATCGTCATACAAGAAGTGTCATGGCGGCATGGAAGTGACGTCATACAAGAAGTATCATGGCGGCATGGAAGTATCGTCATACAAGAATTATCATGGCGGCATGGAAGTGACGTCACATGGCCAGTTGGTGGTAAATTTAAAATTCAATCACGATAAGGGGAGGTCAATGACCTCCAAACAGCATTGCGTCATTCTTATCTGGTATTGCAGCATTCGAGGCCAAGTTTCTACAAGTTCAGTCCTGTTTGCTACAGGTTCAGACCTGTTTTCTACTGGTTCAGACCTGTTTTCTACTGGTTCAGACTTGATTTCTACAGGTTCAAACCTGTTTTCTACTGGTTCAGACCTGTTTTCCTGCCTCAGACCTGTTTTTTAATATAAACTGTAACCTGATATGACTAGTGTAAGTTGTTATTAGCCTTTTGGAATGCAGGAAGTTACCAAGGTTATCAAAAAATAAAAGACATGTTACTTAACATTTTAATTTATTATATCAGCCAAGTCCATTTGCCATAGGTCATCAAGCCAACTTTGTAGGGATGTTTGGAAGAAATCTTTTTTCAAACGTTCCAGTAGCTCCAAGAGAGTTTGCCATTCGTAGGTAGAAAATGATAATTTATTGCCATTACCATTCCTTATAATTATTGCAGGACTGAAGGATTTAGCTGGACTTAATCCACACTGTATTTGAATGTTAACATTAGATATTAGTGGAAAAACATTACTTAGCAAGTATATCTGCTCCCACCGTGCGGCTTCTTCATATTTAGCCAGAATATTATCGAGAGGCTTACTATAATCGTAATTTTCTTCATCACTTAAATTAGCGGACACTTCACTCATTTTGCATACAACTTGCTCGTTCGATGAAATAACGTTGGTGTTCTCGTTAACAAAAATTGCAACTTGATAGTCTGTTTCCTTTAATACTGCCACGCTAGTATAATCTGTAATCTGATATATTATTTCCTTTAACAGCATTGCGTCATTCTTATCCGATATTGCATCATTCGAGGTTAATGACCTCCAAACAGCATTGCATCATTCTTATCTCGTATTGCATCATTCGAGGCCAAGTTTCTACAGGTTCAGACCTGTTTTCTACTGGTTCAGACCTGTTTTTAGCAGAAACTTTAACCTGATATATTATTCCTTTAACAGCATTACGTCATTCTTATTTGGTATTGCATCATTCGAGGCCAATGACCTCCAAACAGCATTGCGTCATTCTTATCCGGTATTTCATCATTCTAGACGTCACGTCAAGGTCATCGACCTCTGGTTGTCTGGGGTTAAGGTCGCCTCAATTTAAGACTTGTTTTCTACTGGTTCAGACCTGTTTCCTACAGGTTCAGACTTGTTTTCTACAGATTCAGACCTGTTTTCTTCAGGTCCAGACTTGTTTTCTACTGGTTCAGACCTGTTTTCTACAGGTACAGACTTGCTTTTTAGTATAAACTGTAACTTGATATATTATTTCCTTTATAATTGTAGTGTTAGCAAAAATTTTAGCCTAATATGTAGGCTTGTTAGTAAATTGGCAAGAGCCTCTTTAGCTCAGTGGTAGAGCAATGGTCTTGTAAACCGGAGGTCATGAGTTCAAATCTCACAGGAGGCAATTACATTTTTATCAAAAATGTCAGGTGTGGAATTCGAACCCACGCTCCGTTTGGGAACCAAGGCTTAAACAAGGCGCCTTAACCACTCGGCCAACCTGACTCGATAGGTATATGAAAAAGAAACGAGAAATTTTTTTTTATATCTATTTATTGGCATAAGGTAGGTGTAATACATGATGTATATGGGATAGTTATTTAATATCATATTCGAACTGTTGCTGAAAGTTCTTTATAACATAAAGTACACCTTTTTTTATGCATTCCACAAATCCAGCAGACTTCCACATGGGCGCAAGGTAGAAAAATAACGTTTCGTTCTCGCTTTCGACATATTCGGCAAACCTTTTCAGGTGGTCTCCAGCATTCGTCCTCAGGAACGGAATTTGGCATTACTTCGATTGGCTTCCTACCAGACANAAGTCATTCCAGACGAGCAGTTCGCCTTCCGACCCAATCACTCCACTGAACTCCAAATCTGACCTTACCGAGCACATCACGGCGGCTTTCAACAGAGGGGACAGTACACCGGTGCTGTCTTCCTGGACGTCGCAAAGACCTTCGATACGGTTTGGCATGAAGGCCTACTGATGAAAATGCTCACCAACCAATATCCCATATCCTTTACCAAACTCATAAATTCCACATGCAATTCAGGACACCTTGTATCTAACTATGTGAGAAATTAAATATTGAAATATTTAAAAGAAGTATATTTGTAATATATAACAAAATAAATAAACAAAAAGGTATTATTCTATGTCACCAACATTACTTCTGTTATATATATATCTTGCTTCTTCTGGCTTTGCAGTCAAAATTTTATCCTGATGAATTTTATATAGTTCGGATATCCTATTTTCAAAATTATTTAATGTATTACTTTTTATGCTATTTCTTATTTTCTTAAAAAACCTGAGATAATGATAAACATTATGTATCATAATTAAAACTGGCGCCAATAATTCTTGAACCGTTAATAAATGGTGAATATATCCTCTAGAATATCTATTACATGTTAAGCACTGACATGAGAACATTATAGGTGTAAAATCATCAGCATACTTCGAATGTCTCAAATTTATTTCGAAACTTTCTAACTCTTCATTATCTTCTATTGGAAAAGTCATTGCTGCCGATCGTTCTGTTAATATTCGACAATAAGATGTGTCAAACATGTCAATACCTGTCTGTACCAATTTTAATACATTTACTGGATTCCAGCAACCCTGCACGGAACAGAGTTTTTCAGAAGGTATATTTTTTATGACATATTCTAATACATCCTTAATTTCTTCAAATGGCAAAAACTCCACTTCTGGTCCATTATTATGTAAGCCATCAATAAGAAATCCATTTAATTCATGCATATTTTTCAATAAAGCTTGAATACACTTTTGTCTGGATTTTATACAGTATCCACCCGCAATAGGAGCCATTACAAATGCTTCTTTTAATACTACCGATTCTCTATGGCGATCTAAACACTGTTTATTAAAATTAATAGTATTTTCTACCGCCTTTGATATTCGTTTTGGGGCACTTGTTTTATTAGTATCTCCATCCGATAATAAGTAATACATATCAGGTTTAAACGTTTCTACTAAATTCATGTACTTTTCAGAATCATAGAGAACTTTACCATATTTTGTCCACACAGGAATATTTTCTTTAACATGATGTCCCTGTTTTGTTAAATAACTAGGGTCCTGCAGAGTAACACAAGTTAAACTGTCTTTACTTCCAATAAATTCGGATATTGAACCATTGTAATACTGCAATGTTTCTTGGAAATTATGCATACTAACCAATGGTATTTGCAAAATTTGAGGTTCCTTACTAACAAGTTTAAAAACTTCATGTGTAACATGTGGGATATGCCCACCTTGAGTGTGAAGTAAAACAACTGGAGTCTCTATTTCGATATTCTTTTTCCCTTCATTTTTTAAAATTCCAAGACGTGGAGCACGTATTTGAGGATTTTGTACATAAAATTTCATCTTTGTTATAAAACAGGTAAATTATTGCTCAGCAAAATAATTTGTATGTATTTCTATTGATAACAAAAAACTTCAATTTATTCACATTTGACAAATAATAATTCAAAACTCAAAGCATAGAGCAGGATGTGCCTCCATGGCATAGAGCATGGCATAGACATAGAGTCAGAAAGAATATAGAGACCCATAAAACATATAATAACAATTTATGATCTATGAGTCCATGTGCTTTATAAGAAGCTGTTTTCCAATTGCCAGTGAACTGTTCCTGAATTGTTCTTTTACTGTTATACTCTTTAAATTCTCCAAACTTAAACAACTCGCCATTATTCCATGGCTAGAAATTGGCCTCAATGATTTGGGATCGAGGGGGATTATCCCTCTTTATCCTGCCTCATCTCGTGTAGGCCTGGACAGCCTTCGTAGGTGGGCCCCATCCGTCGTCTACCCCGACCGCAAATGCGGCCGGTGTAGGCGCTTTGTGGGACCTCCTTTTGTCCTGGCTGGGCCCCGCCGGCTAGGGCCCTTTCTTCTGGCGCTCTTCTTGCTTCGCCGGCTCGTCTGTGTAAACCCCGGGGGTAGTGTCATGTTTATGTGTGGTATGGTTGGGTAGGGTAGTGCGGCTATGCAGCCTGGGATGCGCTTTGCTAAGGTGGCCCTTAGGCTAGCGCGGGAGGGGAGGG